CAAACGTTGCTGGGATAGCTGCAATGTGTTGCTTAAAACACCCAAGTTATGTATGGCTCAAACGTTGCTGGGATAGCTGCAATGTGTTGCTTAAAACACCCAAGTTATGTATGGCTCAAACGTTGCTGGGATAGCTGCAATGTGTTGCTTAAAACACCCAAGTTATGTATGGCTCAAACGTTGCTGGGATAGCTGCAATGTGTTGCTTAAAACACCCAAGTTATGTATGGCTCAAACGTTGCTGGGATAGCTGCAATGTGTTGCTTAAAACACCCAAGTTATGTATGGCTCAAACGTTGCTGGGATAGCTGCAATGTGTTGCTTAAAACACCCAAGTTATGTATGGCTCAAACGTTGCTGGGATAGCTGCAATGTGTTGCTTAAAACACCCAAGTTGTATGGCTCAAACGTTGCTGGGATAGCCGCAATGTGTTGCTTGAAGCACCCAAGTTATGTATGGCTCAAACGTTGCTGGGATAGCTGCAATGTGTTGCTTGAAACACCCAAGTTGTATGGCTCAAACGTTGCTGGGATAGCTGCAATGTGTTGCTTAAAACACCCAAGTTATGTATGGCTCAAACGTTGCTGGGATAGCTGCAATGTGTTGCTTAAAACACCCAAGTTGTATGGCTCAAACGTTGCTGGGATAGCCGCAATGTGTTGCTTGAAGCACCCAAGTTATGTATGGCTCAAACGTTGCTGGGATAGCTGCAATGTGTTGCTTGAAACACCCAAGTTGTATGGCTCAAACGTTGCTGGGATAGCTGCAATGTGTTGCTTAAAACACCCAAGTTGTATGGCTCAAACGTTGCTGGGATAGCTGCAATGTGTTGCTTAAAACACCCAAGTTATGTATGGCTCAAACGTTGCTGGGATAGCTGCAATGTGTTGCTTAAAACACCCAAGTTGTATGGCTCAAACGTTGCTGGGATAGCCGCAATGTGTTGCTTGAAGCACCCAAGTTATGTATGGCTCAAACGTTGCTGGGATAGCTGCAATGTGTTGCTTGAAACACCCAAGTTGTATGGCTCAAACGTTGCTGGGATAGCTGCAATGTGTTGCTTAAAACACCCAAGTTGTATGGCTCAAACGTTTCTGGGATAGCCACAATGTGTTGCTGAAAACACCCAGGTTTCTTGGCTCAAACGCCGCAAATGTTTTAGTAAAAAACAGAGGTTCCTTGGCTCAAATGCCACAATGCGGTGGTGAAAAGCACCCAGGTTTTGTGGCTCAAACACCACTGGCAAACACAGCAATGTTTTGGTGAAAAATACTGAAATAGGTTTGGTGGCACAAACGCTGCCTGGAAACACTGCGAAAGGTCACCTAAAAACAATCGGTGTTGTTCGTAGGTCTCTCTGAGATGTCAGCTCATTTGCATATATCGCTCGTCAATCAGCGAACTCGGAGCTGAAGTCGGAGCCTCAGCAGACGGACAGCTCAGACAGGAAGTGGAGGGATGAGGTCAGAGCTGCACCTGAGCGATCTCGTCTCAACCACGTCCTGTTCATACTGCGCACCTTCATCTCTTCACTCGTCCTCCAGCAGTGCAATCATCCAGGTTTTTTCTTTGTTCGAGGACGTGACCTCGAGTGTTTCAGGGGTTCAAACGCAAAGTGACACCTTGCTCTTGGATTCTGCGACAGGAAGCTGAGGTCACAGCGAGGAATGAGGGAGAGTAAACATGAGGTCAGCAGCAGAGAGGAGGATGAGGCAGAGCGTGAGTGTGAGACTGTCCGGCACCAGGACCCCCGCCTGAAAAACACCAGCAGCAGCAGCTCGGCTAAAATCAGAGTTGTTTACCTGCTAATAATAGAGGAACACCAACACGCCGCCCCCCGTCCTCTCAGCACCTTCCCCACACATGATGCTTTACTGTGGGGAAGGAGGCGCGGCCACCAGGTGAGCCCTCCTCCTCCTCCTCCTCCTCCTCCTCCTCCTCGTCTCTGCCTCTTGAGGACTTTGTTCTGTTGCGAGAGCAGGGAGGAACTTTCCAGAACATTACTCAGCCCGACAAAACAGGCGAGAGGTTATTGACCTGCTGTAATCACCTCTTTATTCCTCGCCTGCCGTTTCCTTTCTGGTCGGCAGCAGCGGCGGATAACAATCGGCTCGCCGCCGTGTGCCACTTTTGTACCTTTCCTAAAATACAGGGAGGTATGGCAGCCCGTCTGTGCCAAGACAGTGATAAAAATAAAGATGAAGTCAACATTTAGACTCGCTAAATCACAATGTAGTATCTAATATTGACTTACTATCAAATAACTTTCTTTAAAAATAGATAAATAAATTTGGCACAAACATTCACTTTAAGTCATGGATGAACTGATCAGACGTGATATCTTAAGAATACCTTCAGGGAATTTCCTCAAATTAGGCACAAACGTCCACTTAAGAATGAACTGATTAGAATTTGGTGGTCAAAGGTCACTGTGACCTTGTCTGTCCCATTCTTGTGCAATATCAGCAGAACACTTTGAGGGAGTTTCCCCAAATTTGGCACAAACATCCACCTGGATTCAGGAATGAACTGATTAGAATTTGGTGGTCATAGGTCACTGTAATCTTGTATCTGTCGCATTCTCTGGCACATGACATCTTAAGAACGCCTTGAGGGAATTTTTTAAGATTTGGGACATACGTCCACTTGGACTTAATGATGAACTAATTGGAATTTGCTGGTTAAAGGTCACTGTAACTTTGTTTGTGCCATTCTTGTGAGTGTGACATCTGTAGAAGACCTTGAAGGAATTTCCCCCTAATTTGGCACTAATGTCAACTTGGACTAAAGAATGAACTGATTAGCATATGGTGGTCAAAGGTCACTGTGACCCTGTCCATTGCATTCTCATGAACGTGACATCTGAGCAACGTCTTCAAGAAATATCTGTAAATTTGGCACAAACATTTGAGTCAAGCATGACCTGATCGGAATTCAGTGTTGAAAGGTCGCTATAACCTTGTGTCCATCTCATTTTCCAGAACGTGGTATCTCAAGAACGCCTTGTGGGAATTTCTTAAGATTTGGCACAAACGTTCACATGAACTTAACGATGAAGTGAGTAGAATTTGGTGGTAAAAGATCAAAGGTCGCCGTGACCTTATCTGTCTAATTCTCATGAATGTGATATCTCAAGAACGCCTTGAGTGAATTTCTAAAGATTTGGCACAAACATTCACGTGTACTTAACAATAAACTGGTTAGAATTTGATGGTCAAAGGTCACCGTGACCCCGTTTGCTGCCTTCTCATGAATGTGCAAGAACACCTTTCGGATTGTTTTTTAAATTTGGCACAATCATTTACTTTGTGTCAGGTATGAACTGACTAGAAGTCGGTGGTCAAAGGTCAAGGTCATTGTGACCTTGCATTCATCTAAATCTTGTGAACATCATATCTCAAGAACACCTTGAGGGAATTTCTCCAAATTTGACACAAACATTCACTTGGTCTTGAGGATGAACTGATTGGAATTTGGTGGTCAAAGGTCACTGTGACCTCGCAACCATGTTCTCAGCCATAACTCAAGAATTCATACGCTAATTATGACAAAACTTGACACATATGTCTAACAGGATAAAATTATGAAGGTCAAAAAGTCAAAGGTCAACTTGACTGTGACATCATCATGTTTTAGGAACAGAGGGGGAGACATTTGGTCAGGTACTGAATTGGTGACACTTGAAACTGTGCTGGCTGGTGTCGATAAAACCCTAATGTTACGCAAAGAATAAGAAACGTTTGGGCCAATCAGAGGCCAGTAAGGGGGTGTGATTGGTTTGAGTCAGGGTTTTTATTTTCATCATACAGAACTTTTATTTGTTTCCTGGCTCTGATAGACCAGAGGAGGGTCTTTAAACTATCACATAAGAGCCGGATCCGACCAATTGAACTCAACTTCTCAGATCAAATAATCTGAAGTGAGCTGGCAGCCAGAGCGACGAGGGGAGGGGACGGCGGGGGGGAGTGAATAAAAAGAGAGAATAAGGTGGGCTTTCTGCTGCACATTGCTTTCTCTGTGCCCAAAGCAGAACGAAGCCTCACCAGAGCATTTACATTTATTTTTACGACATTTAAACAAACAAATAACAAAAATAAATCAATGCGAAACCTCGAAACCTGACCACAGTGTGTTTAGGAGCCCCTCTGCCCTGACAGCGAGCGGGAGACCACCAATTTCTCCCGGTCAATATTTGAGGAGCTAATTTGGAGAGTTTGTCCTCTCCATTGGGGGAAAAAAAAAGAAGAAGGATTTAGTGAATAGCGTGTGTTTTCCTACGCGTCGGCCGTGCGTTTGCATAATGTCGCAGGGGTTTACACGCAGCCTTATCTGTCAGGCTGACAGGGGTGTGTGTGTGTGTGTTTCAGTTGTTCCTGCTCTACCTGCGGTCAGCTGTGCCAATAATGCAGCTTTGATTAGAGGCTTATCGCGGCCCCGGCACACCCTGCATCACACCTCGGGCATGTGACTCCTGCAGCAGGGCCATAAAACAAACATACCCCAAACACCAAGCTGTGTGAAAAGGACACTTTCAGGCTCTCAGCTCATGCACCTGATTATTGCTTCTTATTCAGCTCTATGGAGTTATTGGATTTAAGGCTGCAGACACACGACCGTCTCAAAGGTTCAGAGGAGTGCAGGATCTACATGGTGTAACAACACGCAGAATACACGAGATCACAGTGTGATGAAACCAATTAATTAGTTATGTGATGCTTTAAAAAGGGCGTGTCACCAAAGGTTTCTGACAGAATCAGAGAGGATCGGTCAGAGTAAAGCAGGGGACGGAGAACTGTGATGGATGTTTGGGTCGTAATCTACAGTTCGTTTGTTTCCTACATGTCTGGTCGTCTGACTGCTCGTATGTTTACTCAGTTGACAGGCAGTCTAATGGTGGAAGACGTAGATTGAAGTAGTAAAGTACCTTAAAGTTATATTAAAGTACAGTACTTGAGTAAATGTCCCACCACTGATCCACTCTTCTCTCTCTTCCCGTCAGGCTCTTCCTCTGCTGTGTTCCCAACAGTCGGACGCTCTGAGCTTCAGCGCCGACCTCCAACACCTGTACGCAGCCATCGTCGCCCACGGCAACACACGGAAACGCAAACTGTCTGAGGAGCGCCCTGTTGAGGAGGAACAGCCGCCCGCCGAGGAATCACACGTCACCTCGTCTTCAGGTTTCAGTCATTGATCTTGACTTTGAGTCTCTCGGCCTCCATCTTAGAATTCAGGCTTAAAATATCACACAGAAACAAAGATATTCAGATATTCGAGTCTTTAATTGGGTGTCCTCGTCCCGCAGCTGGATCTGTCGTCAGCAGTGAAGCAGGTGAGGACCGGCAGGTGGACGCAGCTGGAGCCAAGATGGCCGACACACCCACAGTAAAACAGGTACGACAACATCAGACGGATCAAAAGAACAAAAAATAACAATAATGATAATTATCCTTCTATGTTTTTGTCCCCTCCAGTCTGTCCCGGTCAGGTCGAACCCTGCTGAGCAACCGTCTTCCAAACCAAAGAAGAAGAAAGTGGGTCTGTTCAGATGAGCCCAGGCAGTAGGGTCGCACACACCCACCACCATTCAGAACCTCACTGGGAAAAGTGCTTTTATTTAAAAATGGGTTCATCTTTAAAACTTTTTTTATTCTTAAACTTTTATTTTGAAAAGAAAAAAAAGCTTTTATAGTTTAGGACACATGAGCTGGTTTTAATTAGGGTTTAGATTAGCTGACGTAGAAGGTTTTATGGGTTAAACGTTAATTAAATCATAATAATAAATGTTTTTTTATATCTGGATTCTGTTGGATTTTAGAGGAGTCAAGCAATTTGTGAATTAAAGATGTAAATATAATTTTGATGGCTATTTTTGTCGGTTATTAATAAAATCAACTAAAATCAACTATGTCATGTTGCTGTAAATCAACTGTAGACCACACTGTGTAAATTTCAGGTAAATCAAACAATAATTGTCTGACAAGTCATACTTCCTGTTGCCAGTACGTGGAGCCTCATAAAATATCTTTAATAACTTTTTATCACAAAGTTGTCCAGATGTTTAACACCAGTTTTGAAGTCAGTCGGACTATGTCTGCACGAGGAGTTCGTTAAAATGTGAAGTGTGGAAAATGCCAAAATTGACCAGGAAATTAAAAATGGCCACCATCCTGTTGGGTGTAGCCTATTCGTCCAAGAGGCTTTTTTGGCGAAACATTGAAATCCAGAAACATGGTAACATAAATGTGTTCAGGGCGGGACTAATGTCAAACGTGAAGTTTGGTGGAGATCAGACCATTTACTCTAAAGTTATAACAATTTCGTGTTTCATGGCGAGACAAAATTCGATGCTCCGCAGTGGGCGGGCCCTTCGACGTGAGGTAGATCTTTTCATAATATTTGATCACAAAGTAGTCAAGCTCGCAAAAACCAAATTTGAAGTCAGTCTGATGAAATCTGTAGGAGGAGTTAGTTAAAATACAACACATGGGAAACGTCTAAAATTATCACGTAATTCAAAATGGCTGCCATCCTGTTGGGTTTAGCCTATTGGTCCAAGAGGCTTTTTTGGCAAAACATCGAACTCCGTAAATATGTTTACATAAATGTGTTCATGGGACTAATATCAAACGTGAAGTTTGGTGGAGATCGGATCATTTACTCCAAAGTTATAGCAATTTCGTGTTTCATGGCGAGACATCAAAATTCGACGCTCCGCAGCGGGCGGGCCCTTCAACGTGAGGTAGATCTTTTAATAAATTTTGATCACAAAGTAGTCAAGCTCGCAAAAAACAAATTTGAAGTCAATCTGATGTAATCTGCAGGAGGAGTTCTTTAAAATACAACACCTTGGAAATGTCTAAAATGATCACGTAATTCAAAATGGCCGCCATCCTGTTGGGTTTAGCCTAAGAGGCTTTTTTGGTGAAACATCGAACTCCGGAAATATGGTTACATAAATGTCATCAGGGTGAGACTAATATCAAACGTGAAGTTTGGTGAAGATTGGACCATTTACTCTAAAGTTATAACAATTTCGTGTTTCATGGCGAGACATCAAAATTTGACGCTCCGCAGCAGGCGTGCCCTTCAACGTGAGGTAGATCTTTTAATAAATTTTGATCACAAAGTAGTCAAGCTCGCACAAACCAAATTTGAAGTCAGTCCAATTCATTCTGTAGGAGTTAGTTATAATACAACACGTGGGAAACACCATAAATGACCGACTTCCTGTTGGGTTTAAGCAATGGGTTCAAGAGACTGTTTTGTGCATCTGGGCATGATACAGGTGTGTAGAGATTTTTGTGCAACATGCGGTCTGTGCTTATGTTCAGAGGGCGTGACCAAGCCATTTTGCCCCGCCTACTGGCAAAAGCCATATCACGTCAAATTTATAGGGCGACTGGCGCGCATGCAAAAATTGGCACTGTTTTGAGTATGTTAAAACCCCAAAAGGCCCTAAAAATGGTTTAAATATATTGAAAGACTGAACTCTTAAACTGAACTCAGCCATAACTGAACTTGTTTTGTCCTTTTTAGTGTTGCAAAAAAATAATTTTAATTCCACTTTAATTCAAATTTAGTCAAAAGTCAAGTTTCCATGTGTCTTTATTTGTGTTTCTCTGGATTTAAAAGCTCAAACTCGTCTGAGTTTGTGTCCAAAAATCCACTCTGAATCATTTCAGACAGACGGAGGGAGAATAATGAGCGGACGGCGGTCGATAGAGCAGCCACTCTCCTCTTTTCAGAGCACAGTGAGATGTTGACTCAAGGTGTTGCAGCATCTCGGGAATGCTATTGAAGTTTTGGATGGAAAGTCACTGTTTGCCTGCAGGATTTCAAGAGTTTCTGTGTGACAAACGTCACCGAGAAGTGGCGTCATGTTAACTGGAAATGCAGAGGATATGTGTATATTTTTAGGCCCTTTACTTTCCTGATGGTTCCCAGATGCTTCACACATTTCCTAGAAAGCGATACCTAATAAAGGCATGTAGAAAATATAACAGATAATGAAAGTGTGATAAGAGAATCCTGCCTTTCTTTGTGTTTGATAACTGTAAAGAAAATATTTGGTGGGTTTGGACTGTGTGGCACAAAACAAAACATTTCATGACATCATCTTCTCACTGCCACATTAGATGTCTTAAAGGAAATGTCGATATTTTTCAGCTTGAACCATTTTTTTCATGTCTTTGTGTCTAAGTGACAAATAGAGTCAACAGGTGTTGAAATCATTCCAGTATTGAGAGAGAGCGCTGCAGACGACAGCTACGAAAACAGGATGCAATGTAATGTCAATGGGGCAATTGAGCACTGTCATTGTATATCCATTCGTTTATGTCACTGACAGGCTCAGGTTGTTATTCTAAGTGTTTGACAACATTCTGGAAAGGATCCCTACAGAGATAGAGCTTTGTGTTTAAGAGTAATATCCTTTTCGTTTAACCAGAAACAGCCCTGAAATCACCGTCACCAAACCCACCAGACTCCATTTAAATAATCAGTAATTTTAGCGTGTATATAGAGGCAGCATGTTTTCGCATCTAACTGAGTGAATTAAGGGTTAATTTCAACCAAACCAGAGCTGGTGATTGTTGGAAAAGCGAAAGGTTGAACCAAGACACACTTTGTGAGTTGTATTTTGTTTCTGTCGACTTTGAATGACGTATGTTATGATGATGAAATGACTGTTTATTTAAATGGAGTCTGGTGGGTTTGGTGATGGTGATTTCAGGGCTGTTTATAGATAAACAAAAAGGATCCTACTCTGCAACAAAAAATCTATCTCTTCATTCATCATTACATAATGTAGAATAACAATCAGAGCCTCTCAATGGCAACAACAAACACCTTTAGTGGACGCAAATTGATGACACAATGATAAACTTAGTCTTACTCTTTAACACAAAGCTCTGTCTCTGTAGGGATCCTTTCTATAATGTTGTCAGACACTCAGAATAACAATCTGAGCCTGTCAGTGACAAAAACACTCTGTCTGGATCCTCTCCATAATGTAGAATAGCAATCGGAGCCTCACAGTGGCAAAAAACAAACAAAAACAAAATAACACCTTCAGTGGATATAAATTGGCGGCACAATGATAAAACTTTGTAAAACAAACAAACAAACAAACAAACAAACAAACAAACAAACAAAAATCTCTGTAGGGATCCTTTCCCTAAAGTTGTCAGACACTTAGAATATCCATCTGAGCCTGTCAGTGACAAAAGCAAACACTTTAATGGGATGTACATTTTTGGTGCAACGATAAAATTACTGTTGATTTAAACAGTATGGTGGGTTTTGGTGATGGTGATTTCACGGCTATTTCTAGTTAAACAAAAAGGATCTTACTCTGTAACAAAAACGTCTATCTCTGTAGGGATCCTTTCCATAATGTAGAGTAACAATCTGAGCCTCTCAATGGCAAAAATAAACACCTTTAGTGGAAATCGGTGCCACAATATTAAAATTACTTGTACTCTTTAGCAAAGAGGTCTATCTCTGTAGGGATCCTTTCCATAATGTAGAATAGTAATTGGAGCCTCACAGTGGCAAAAACAAACAAACAAAAACACCTTCAGTGGATACAAATTGGCAGCACAATGATAAAACTTTGTAAAAAAAAAAAGGGGGGGGGGGGGTCTATCTCTGTCGGGATCCTTCCCATAATATTGTGAGACACTTAAAATAACAATCTGAGCCAAACAAACACAAACAAAAACAAACACTTTTATGGGATGTACATTTTTGGTACAATGATAAAATTACTGATTATTTAAATGGAGTCTGGTGGGTTTGGTGATGGTGATTTCAGGGCTGTTTCTGGTTAAACAAAAAGGATCTTACTCTTTAACAATAAGGTCTATCTCTGTAGGGATCCTTTCCATGACATAGAATAAGAGTCTGAGCCTGTCAGTGACAAAAACAAACACTTTTAGTGGACCTAAATTGACAGCACAATATTAAAATTACTCGTACTCTTTAGCACAAAGGTCTTTCTCTGTAGGGATTCTTTCCATAATGTTGTCAGACACTCAGAATAACAATCTGAGCCTGTCAGTGGCAAAAACAAACACTTTCAGCGGACATAAAGTGACACAAACATGGGGAAAATAGGGTCCAGGTTGAAAAATACCCCAACGAAATCCCATTAGACTACACATCTGCAGGTTTTAACAAAAAGGATCCTACTTTTAGAGTCTTGGTCCTGAAATCCCATAAATAAAAAAACATTTTAAGTATTCTTAAGTTCACTTTGGGGCCCCTGAAAGCATGACTAAAGGCCCCTGGAGGTCCTCAGACCCCAGTTTGGCCATCAGCAGAGGGCTGAGTGGGCTCAGCTGAGTGTTGGGTGTCTCTGTTGGTGAAGCTGGACCTTTCGGGGGAGGCAACTAAAGTCAGACCCTGGTTCTAAAGTGATGTAGTGTATGAGCTCACTGTCAGCTGGAGGTGGAGGTGATGGTGGACGGAGAGACATCTCAGAGAGACACCTGCCAAGCTGCAGACCACTGTTCAAGACAAACAAATAAAAAACACCTGAAGAAATCTGTCTCTTCATTTACCACCCCTGCTTAAGTTAAGTCCAGTCTGTGGTGGTTCTGTTAATGGGAGTTCTGGGAAATGTAGGAGATCTCCAGAATGAGTGAGGCTGAAACAATAAGTTCAGGAAGAGTGAATCTGAGCATCAAACAATCACTAAAATGTTCAGGTTTTCCAAATCAGGATCCTGGGCGCTTAAGGGGATCCTTAAGGGTTTCCCTGGAGGTCCTGATTACCTGAGTGACAGTTTAATGTCTCACCTCCAGCACAGACTGTTACGTCACTGAGTCTTAAACCTTCCAGAGGAGCGGTGGGAGAGTTTTAACGCGCACACCTGCGCTCCTGCTCACGCGTCTGAACTTGGACACGAGGGTCCAAAGGACAGAGGGCGAGCGCGCGCCGGCCCGGACAGTCTCGTGGCTCGGTGTTTGTGTGTCCTCTTGGCTGACAATAAGCAGATGAAGGCGGCCGCGGGGCCTGTGCCACCCCGATGGGAGGAGAGGACGGAGCAGAGGGCAGGTCCAGCAGGGCGCGGTCTCCTTCTTCTCCCGCGGCACCTCATCTGTGCTGTAGTAGGATCTCTTCCATTTCCATTTCTGCCAACAGCCCTGCGCCACAGGGACGCATTGAGAACAAACCCGAGAGGCAGAAACCGCTGCGGGGACACCCTTTGACCGCCGTGCCCAACAGGCGCAGCCAGACTACGCACCGCGCGCCTCCGTGTCTGTCTGCAGCCCCTTTTCTCACAGCTCCGACACAGAGAGACAGCTTTGAACCTGCCTGCCAAGATAAACTCACCTCGCCTATTTATGCCCCTGCCTCCGCGTGCACTCGGGACAGGAGGGTGTCAGCAGCTCACAGGGACAGGTTTATCTTTCCAGCTCGTCTCCAGCGGCGCACTGGCCACTTTTACGCGCCGGGAATGGCCACTTTTGGGGACTCGGGAGTGAGTCCTGCTGCCTTACCTCCACTCTAAAATTACAAAGTGGGGTGACACACATCTGAGGAAACACAGCGGTGACATTTTGGCCACCGGCCGGGGGGCTACAGACCGGCCCCGGGGCGGAATGCTGCTCCCGACGCTGGTGACGTGCCTCGCCGGGTGCGCTTTTCTCCTCTCGCCGGTCAGCGAGGGCTGCGGGCCGGGTAGAGGCTATGGCAAGAGGCGACCGCCGCGGAAGCTCGCGCCGCTCGCCTACAAGCAGTTCAGCCCCAACGTGGCCGAGAAAACTCTGGGGGCCAGCGGGAGATACGAAGGGAAAATTACCCGGAACTCTGAGCGCTTCAAGGAGCTCACCCCGAACTACAACCCCGACATCATCTTCAAGGATGAGGAGAACACAGGTGCAGATCGCATGATGACGCAGGTAACCCTTCTCGGACACCGTAGAGCCTTTTAAACTTGTTTTTTCAGTAAGGAGTTGTTTCACTAAGTGCACTTTGCCCAGTCTTTAAACGCGTGGACACTGTTATCTTTCTCCGCGTGTCTTGTTGACTCAAGGCTCGGCACTGCGGAAAAATCTGCGTCAACAAACAAAACTCACATTTTTCTTCAGACTTTGGATCAAATCTAACAAAAGATACGTTTTTAGTGATGCTTAATAAATGCCACAAGTCAGTTTATTTTGAATAAAACTAGACTCTTTCTGACATGTTTGGGTGTTTTTAAGGTGGATTTTTTTCTCTTTGCGCAACTCTTGCCTCAGTCAATTCCTAAAATCCCCCCGCAGCTGTTGACACAATTTGTTTCTGGCTTGTGGACGCTTGAATCAGAGCTCTCCTCTGCTCTCCTGCCTCCACACCGACTCTCAGAGGTTCACTGTGGGCAGCTCGTGCGTAAAACGAGGGCAACCCCGTCTAAAAATGTATGGAAAAGCGGTCGCTCTTAATTAAAACACTATGTCCTCTGTTTTACATCATGTTTTTTGGTGGAAAAAACAGCCAAAAGTCGTATTTGGTTAGAGCCCCGGGGTCAAGCGTGGACTGATGTTTACCGTTTTTGCGTTTTTTTAAGCCCCATTGGCCAGAGTTAACAGTCGCCTTTTTGGACTGTCAAAATTTTTTACGACACCGTCACTGATGTGGGCCCCGGGTGGAATTTATTTGACTCCCAATTTCCCCGGGAATAAAGTATTTATATCTGGCTCTTGTGACCGCGGGCTTCCTCTCTCCGCGAGCTGCAGCGCTTATGTCCACAGACCCACGTGGGGGGAATGAAAGCGCGCACTTCCAGTCTGGAGCTGTCACCTCGGTGCGCGCACTGCAAGAAATACCCGCCGGTGCCGCTCACTTCGGCTGGGTTCACCGGGAGAAACGTGCAAGATGAGGTCTTTGAAGTGAAGATGGGAAACCAGCAAAGAGAGATGAGTCTGAAGTTACAAAATCAGCTCATTTCAATGGTCTGATTTTCCCCAAGATGCTCCAAACTCCCCCTGAAACTTACTCCTAAATGTGAAAGCCAAGAAAGACCAACTTTATTTGCGCCAAACGTCTCCAAAGTGGACATTTCTTGCAGCGCGCGGTGCAGACCTGCACACAATTTATGGGCTCCAAGCCGCAGGAGACAGCCTCCTGTTTGTCTTTTACTATTCCGTGTTACTTTTTGTTTGTTTTCGCAGCGCACATGTGCAGAAATAGCTTCGCTTGTGTCGAAGCTTTAATTATACGGATTTCTTTTTCTCCCCCCTCCTCCTCCTCTCGCCTCTTTATTTTTTATTCGCTTTTTCCGGGGCGCTGCGCTGCACACAGACGCGCCTGTTCACGGGTGAAGACACGCTGCAGAAAGTCTCATTATTCATATTTAATGTGGGCTTTTTAATTAGGCTCAGTTTCTTTGTAATGTGCATGTAAATGGGCGCAAAAGTGCCAGTTTATTTCTGATTTCTCGGATTTCTCGACGCGTAAAAGTCGCTGCAAAACAATCCAGCCGCACTGGAACCAAGAGAAGACACTTTGGGTTTGTGCATCTCGTGAAAACAAGACTCCCAGGCGCCACATGTGACCAGGTGACCTGCTCAGAGGTCCGTTTTTTTTTTTTGCAACGTAAAAAAAGGTGTGCATAGGCGCGTGTTGTCAGCCCCGCGCGTCCAATGTTTGTGCAGCCAGCGGTTTAGTGCTCCAACCGCTCCTACAGAAACCCCCGTCGATCTGTATACCTTGAAAGGAAAACCAACAAAATGTATCGTCTGATTTATGAAGTCCAGCTCGTTGCTGCGACCGCAGAGAAAACACAAGACGTTAAAATCCACAGTGAACACCGTGAAAAGGCATCTGTGGCCACCCGAGACACGAGCTATTCTTATCACAGCCGACATGGAAAGAGACATTTATGGGGTTTAATCCCACTTTCGCTCCTGAATGGGCCGAGAGTCATGAAACGAGATGCTTTGAGAGGCTGCAGGGGGAATACAGGACCTCTTGTAGTCATGCGACTCCAGGAACCTTAATTTAGATTTCTTCAATTTCATCTGTCAGTCAGAGGAAATAAATCCTGCAGATGAAACTCTGGGCTTAATTCAGACATTAGCAGTCTTTGAAGCTTCATATCTTTACCTTTAATCAACCAATTAAACCGTTTAAATGAACATTTAAGAATCAAATATGTAAAACTATGTTGGAATAAAGTTTAAAAATGACACATAAAACAACTTGTTCGCTCCAGTTTGCTCAGAAAGTTTCGTATTATTTAGATTCATCTTTCAGTGAAAGCAACAAGCTTTAAATGAGTTTGTTCTGATCGGTTATCAGAGAGAACAGGTGAGCTCACGTCAGCAGGTGCTGGGCGAGCAGCTCCTCTGCCGTGAGCCGAACAGCATCAGAGAAACACTGGTTTATAACGAGAAACAGTTAAAACCCCCTGAGCGTCTGTATCTGAAGTTATCAGAGAAACAAGCTGAGTAAATGGCAGCTCGCCCCCAGCCCGTTTTCCAGCGTCTTCCTCGCCCCCAACCAGAGGCGCCTTTTAGCGAACTATGGCTGTTATTCCAGCGGCTTTTTAGCCCCCAGTGGTGTTTCTCAGTGACCAATGGCTGTTTTTCCAGTGTTTTCTAGGCGCAAAGATGTGTGTTTGTAGCTGCCCATGGCTGTGTTTCCTGCAGCTTTAACCCCCAAACTTGGGTGTTTTTCCAGCAACATTTTAGCCCCCAAACCATGATGATTTTCAGTGACCCATGGCTGTTTTTCCAGCAGCTTCTTAGCCCATGAACGTGATTATTTGTTGTGGTCCGTGGCTGTTTTTCAAGTGGCTTTTTAGCCCCTAAACGTGGGTGTTTTTGTTGCGACCCATGGCTGTTTTTCCAGCTGATTTTTAGGCCCTAAAGATGGGTGTTTGTAGCTGCCCACGGCTGTGTTTCCAGCAGCTTTTTAGCCCACTAATGTGGGTGTTTGTCATGATCCATGGCTGTATTTCCAGCAACATTTTAGCCCCCACACCTTGATGTTTTTCAGTGATCTATGGCTGTTTTTTCAGCATCTTCCTAGCCCCCAAACATAGATGTCTTTTTAGCAATCCAAGGCTGTTTTCCAGCAACTTTTAAGCCCCCAAATGTGGCTGTTTGTTGTGATCCATGGTCCCCAAATGTGGGTGTTTTTTACTAACCCATGACTGTTTTTCCAGCCTCTTCCTAGCCCCCACACCTTGGTGTTTTCAGTGACTCATGACTGTTTTTCCAGCAGCTTCTTAGCCCATGAACGTGGTTATTTGTTGTGGTCCGTGGCTGTTTTTCAAGTGACAATTTAGCCCCTAAACGTGGGTGTTTTTGTTGTGATCCATGGCTGTTTTTCCAGGGGATTTTTAGGCCCCTAATGTGGGTATTTGTAGCTGCCCATGGCTGTTTTTTTCAGCGTCTTCCTAGCCCCCAAACATAGATGTCTTTTTAGCAACCCATGGCTGTGTTTCCTGCAGCTTTAGCCCCCAAACATGGCTGTTTATTCAGCAGATATTTAGACCTCAAAGGTGGCTGTGTTTTCAGCAGCTTTTTAGCCCCCAGACGTGGGTGTTTTGTTGTGATCCATGGCTGTTTTTCCAGCTGATTTTTAGGCCCCTAATGTGGGTATTTGCAGCTGCCCATGGCTGTGTTTTCTGCAGCTTTAGCCCCCAAACTTGGTGTTTTTCCAGCAACATTTTAGCCTCCACACCTTGGTGTTTTCAGTGACCGATGGCTGTTTTTTCAGCGTCTTCCTAGCCCCCAAACATAGATGTCTTTTTAGCAACCCATGGCTGTGTTTCCCGCAGCTTTTTAGCTCCCAGACGTGGGTGTTTTGTTGTGATCCATGGCTATTTTTCAGGGTTTTTTTTAGCCCCCAAGCACGACTGTTTGTGTGATCTTTGGTTGTTTGGCCCCCAAATGTGGGTGTTTTTTACTGACCCATGGCTGTTTTTAAAATGTCCTTTCAGCCCCCAAACATAAGTGTCTTTTTAGTGACCAAAGGCTGTTTTTCCAGCAGGTTTTCACCCCCAAAATGCAGTTGTTTATTGCATTCTTTGGCTGTTTTTCTGGTGGCTTTTTAGCCCCCAAATGTGGGTGTTTGTAGTGACCTACGGCTGTTTTTCAGCCTCTTCCTAGCCCCCAAACATGGGTGTCATTTTAACAACCAATGGCTGTTTTTCCAGCGGCAGTTTAGCCCCAAAACATGTTTTTTTAATGGCTCATGGCTGTTTTTCCAGCCTCTTCCTAGCCCCCAAATGTAGCCCTTTTTTAGTGGATTTCTAGACCTCAAACATGGGTGTTTGTAGCTGCCCATGGCTGATAACTTGCAGCTTTAGCCCCCAAACATGGTTGTTTTGTAGTGACCCATGGCTGTTTCTTCAGTGTTTTTTTCAGACCTCAAACATGGGTGTTTGTAGCTACCAGTGACTGTTTTCTTGCAGCTTTAGCTCCCAAACTGTTTTTCCACTGGGGATAAGTGACATAAAAATGGGTTGTTTTTTACTGAGACATTGTGTGTTTCCAGCAGAGATCATGCCCCCAAAACCGGGTATTTTAAGCAATATCACGATGTTTTTCTCACCATAACCAAGTGGTTTTGTGTCAAGTTTCATCAAAGTTAAATCTGCGACATAATAATGTACAAATGTTTGTTTTCTGAACAAATTCTTCCCCTTTAATTTCTAAAAATCACACCAGGTGTATCTGAGGTATCCTTTGATTTATTTCATTGGATAAATCCGGTTCGCCCCCCCCCCCCCCCCCCCCCCCCCCCCCCCCCCCCCCCCCCCCCAGTCGCCCTGACAATGCGGCCTGGGTGTGGATTAGATTAACGGAGCCGACTGGAGGATTTATTTGCGGCAGCTGAAGGGAGTTGAATGAGTCCTTCAATCAGCGCTCTCACCTTGTGTTTGCTCACCCTGACCAGACTCCAGGTTTAGAGGGACGCTGAGGACCTCTTGTTCATGTAGCAGCCCCCCCTCCCCTCCACCCACCGTCACCTAACCACCCCATAACCTCACAGTCCCCCCTTCACCCCCTTCACCCCTCCAGCCATCCTTAACATAGCCTCGCTCCGCTCACCACAGAGAGCAAACATCAGGCCGGGACAGCAGGGGTGCATTGTGGGAAGGCTGAAGCCACAGATGAGGGGTGAGCGGGTGTGATGGGGGACTTCTCTGCTGCTGTCTGATTGGTTTAAAAGCTGCGGTGGGCGGGACCTACAAACGTATCTATGTATGTGTGCTTCCATATTTCAGTTGAGCATATGTGTGAAACAGATTTCCGTTTTGCCGCAGCGCTGCAAAGACAAGCTGAACTCTCTGGCCATCTCAGTCATGAACCTGTGGCCCGGGGTCCGGCTGCGGGTCACCGAGGGATGGGACGAGGACGGCCACCACTCGGAGGAGTCGCTGCACTACGAGGGCCGGGCGGTGGACATCACCACGTCGGACCGGGACAGGAATAAGTACGCCATGCTGGCGCGGCTGGCGGTGGAGGCCGGGTTCGACTGGGTCTACTACGAGTCCAAGGCCCACATCCACTGCAGCGTCAAGTCAGGTGAGGAGAGGAAAGTGGTGAAGGTAGAATCCAAGTCACGTCAAAGAAAAGGTCTCAGTGGGCTCCAAAGACTAACTGTACGATAATGCGACGACTGTTAGCTGAGGCTTTCTGACTTTGAGGAAACAAAAGTCTCACAGAGGGGTTCTAACATGTTTCTACTGAACCTACGCCAAACTTTGAGATTTATTTTCTTTAGGTAGGTCTTTAGGTAAGTGGCATTTGGTTAAGGTACAGGAAAGATCTCTATTTTGTATCCTAAAGCTAATAGATATAGAAACACAGACGCCTCATTGGCTGCTCAACTTCACCGCCATTTTGGAGAGGGCCGGACTGGCCTGTTGACGAATGCAAGTAAACAGAGATGCTGCGGTTTTTGCTCTATAATGTTTAGAATTCTCACCCAATTCCAGTGAGTCATTTTTATATTCATGGCTTTATTATCTGCGTGTTGTAGAAAATATACATTTGTCTCAAGTTAGGTGGAATCAGAATAACAACAACTGGCCGCGTATCATGCCAACGTGAAAGCACAGCCTTTTTTCGTCGGTGTCTGACACTGGAAGTCACCGACCAAGTGCCGGTGTTCGACGACTTCGGAGTGAGACTGGGTTGACGACGGAAAGAAAGAGAACGACCAGTTCAACCACCAAAAAGAAATCGTCAAGAAACCGACCTGACAAACACTTGTCTTTATCTGGACACATTTTCCCCACAAATACAACATGCTAACGTTATTAGCACAAGCCTATGGCATTTTACATTGTATAAATTAGCCTAGCAGCTAGCAGACTTTTCCTCTACTCATATAAAACCAGGGTCAACAGCAACATTTCACAAAGGTAACTTACTAAGTCTTGCCTTCTCCAACATGGCGGTGATTTTGACATATTGTGTGCCACGGTGAAAAACTCACTGCTGGCAATAAAACGATTATTTCTGCTGATACTTTTAAGCTGAGTGTGTACTGGGACTGAACTGGTGCTGCTTCCAGGACTCTCTTTCTATTACTAATCCAGCTGACGGAGGCTTTGCAGCAGCGTGGCTACATCTAGCTTGCAGCGGTGCAGGTGGTGACACAACCTCAGGTATCATATCGGCACCAGTTTCACAAACTTTTGAACACTACGCACTAAATTCAGCTGAATTTTGTGTCACAGGGACTCCATTGGTTTCGTATTTAGCTTTAGTCGGGAACTGCTTCCGCTGCCTTGTCTTTCCTTTCTAACATTTTTCCTGTTGTCGATCCCTGGTCTCTGACTGTCCTCTTGCTTGCATCTTAACTGTCTGGGTGCCTCTAGCTCTTTGCTCCATCTGTCTCCACTCACCCCACCTTTCCTCAGCTCAACATCACATCTGAAATTTAGTTTCTGTGAGCTGTTTGTTGCCATTGTCACAAATTTTGATTATTTAGGAAAACTAGGCTGTAAGTAGTGTGGCTGATGGGACGTTTTGAAAGTCCACAGTTTAGTACTCAGTACTGACTCTTTGTGAGAGGCAGAAAATCCAAGTCACCTGTGGAGGAAGACATTTCATCCGTCCAGCGGTCAGGAAAAAGACAAGTGTCGCTGACTGACAGTTGGAGCTCTAGTTCGGCTTTAATGGATGTTAAACTCTCTCTATGTTAAATCATATGTGGAAAACGTCAGAGTGGTGATAAAGAATATATTCCCAGGGTGCATTTTGTTATCAAACATCCAATCACAGAGTTACAAACTTCGGAACAATGTGCCGCTAACAGGGAGCTAAAGCTAAAGATTTGATTTTGTAGAAACAGAGTCAGTTCTGGGTGAATGTGGGGGCTGTGGTGCTGGGTTTTATTCCCATTTCAATTTTTATTTTGCTGCTGCTCTACCTAGCTTCTTCTCTAAGTTAACACCAGCTGAGGCTCATGGGTATTGAAGTCTCAGGACACAACGCATTGTAAGATTCTGCAAAGCACGGATATGTTACGTTTGTAGGTTATGATTAAGTGGGTGTGTTGAAACTTGACATTTCAACAGCAACGTGGTTACATGTGGTTAGGTTTTATGTTTAAGAGGAGATCATGATTTGGCACTATACCGGCAGGAAACGCAGCGATGGCTCGGTTAAAAACAGCCGTTTTTCGTGGCACAATCCCAGCAGAAAACACAGCGATGTGCCATAACAAAACGGCTGCTTTTCTTGGCCCTAACTTGGCAGGAACCGCAGCGATGTGCCGGTAACAAAACGGTCGCTTTTCTTGGCGCTAACTTGGCAGGAACCGCAGTGACGTGCCGGTAACAAAACGGCCACTTTTCTTGGCGCTAACTTGGTAGGAAACACAGCAATGTGCCGGTAACAAAACTGTTGCTTTTCTTGGCGCTAACTTGGCAGGAAACGCAGCAATTAAAAACAGCTGCTTTGTGTGGCGCTATCTTGGCAGGGAGCGCAACAATGTAAAAAAGAACCGTTTTTTGCAGCACTAACCTGGCAGGAAAAACAGCATTTTCGTTAATAATCAGCTGCTTTTCATGGCATTATCCCGGCAGGAACCACAACAATGTGTTGGTAAAAAACAACTGCTTTTCTTGGCACTTTACCGGCAGGAAACCTAGTGACATCTAGGTAAAAATAATCACTTTTCATGGCACAACCATGCAGAAAATGCAGCAAAGTCTCTTAGCCGGGTTTCTTTGCACTATCCCAGCAGGACACGCAGCCATGTCTCAGTAAAAAATGTTAGCTTTTTGTGGCACTAACCTAAGTCAGCTCATAAACTACGTCAGTTCAGAAACGTTGATGTGATATCTATGACACATGCAAATGTAACGTATTCGTTATTTGCAGAAACGTATATTTCAACGTTGTCTTTTTGACGTCACACTCACATCAAGGTCCCACATATTCCTCTTGGTGTCTGTTCATAACCACAAATGTGCAGCAGCATGAAAACTAACACACGTGTGCGACCCTGACGTGGACACACACACACACAGAAGTGCTGAAAGTCGCACAGTGTGCAGAGTTTAAACATCCCCTCGACACATTTGACACTGAGTGGTAACTGAGATTTTCCTTTTTCTTTTCCCCCTCTGTCTCTGTCCTGTTTCCTACTGTATCTCTCTTTCCCCTTCCTGTTTCTCTCCTTCCCTCCCAGATCGGGTTGCGAGGGCCCAGTCCTTGACTTGATCAGAAGGGCAACCAATCAAGTTGGTATTTTTTTTCATGTTTTTGATTCTTTTGTTTTTTTTATTCTGTTTTTCCTCAAAATTCCTCAAAACAAGACAAAGAAAAGAGAAACGAACACGTTGTTGGGAAGACAAATCCAGCCAGCTGAGAAAAAGCCAACAAACCCCCTTAAATCCTTGTTAAAGGCGCTCTAAGGGGGGCGGCTGGACTGTAGTCAACAAGAGGAAACAACCACTAGGGGGCAGCAAAGCACCAGGACCTTGTAGGTGAAGGACTGAACACACAGGGATTAACGCTGACCTCAGACCTCTGCTGCTTTACATCAACAAGACGAGAAATATTTCTGTGATCGAACCAGGAAAAGTTAGGAAGGTAATACTTTGAGTTTTATCCTGTTTCTGGTGCTTTTTGTTTGATAATGAAGAAAAGTATCTGTGTGGCGAAGCTTATGTTCCAGGATTAGATTCTAAATCCACCAATCTTGCAAAGGAATGACCGACCAACATGGATCAGATCAGTGATACTCAGATTATGGCCCCTGGGCCAAATGTGGCCCACCATTAGTACGGTTGTGATCACACCAGGCGCGAATAAAACAAGTTGCACAAGCATTACCTTTAAAGTCAACGTAAAGATGCAATTAGACGTGCATTCTGCTCTCGTGGCGCTGTCCTGGCAGGAAACACAGTGACGTCTCAATCAAAAACAATCGCTTTTCATGGCACTATTACGGCGATGTGAACTGAGCGGCATGAATGAAGCAAGTCACACGCTTATTCACAAGAGTTGAAAAATCTGAACTTGAGCGACCGATTCGTGTCATGATAGTCAATCAGCATTGAGATCCTCCTGGGACATATGACGAGTGATGCGACTAGACAGGAAATCCAGCAGGATGGGTGATGTGACGCGAGTGACACAAATGACGTGGCCTGGTGAACTTCCTGCCAAATGCTGCTGACTGACCTCTGCTGACCTCACCAGGGAAAAAAACATCAGCACCATCTAGTGGACCAAAAACGCAAAAGGACATTTAATAAAAAATTTGAGAATAGAAAGTAAAATTCAAAATGTACTAAGACAGGTATAAGATACAAGAATAAAAGCTACAGTGCAGTGTAAGAAATGAATAAACGAGCACCGACTTTTCATCATTTCTCTTTGGCTCCAAAAACTATCACCTCCGTTTTTTCTTTGTGTAATCGAAGAAAATTGCGGCACATCCAATTTTTGATTTGTTCAGTGCTCCCAGTCAACATGTGTAGTCGACCATCGTCCCCTGGTGACATTGTTATGTAAATTCACCTGCATAATTATGGTAGAATATTTAGTTTTTTTCCATAATCAGAACCACTGGAAGCACGTAAACAGAAGAGGCCCCAGTATGGAGCCTTGGGGAACTCCACATTATTTTTGAAGGCTCAGATGTACAGAAATAATGTACTCCTGTCTTTTAAGTAGGAATCAAACCACTTAAGTATTGTGCCAGAGAGTCCCACCCCAAAATCTACATCTATGATGTCCAGGTATTTGCGTTGAAAACCAAAAACAAATTGAGGAATGATGAATATATTATTGGTCACGCTTAATCAAAATAAATAGATAAATCTGAATTGATACAAAACAGTCAAAATGAAAAATTTTGACAATGAAAAAGTCAGACTTTAGGGTCTCATAATTTGGCACCATTTTTGTCACAATTTCTCATAAATTAATTTTTGTAGTTCAACATTTTTAGCTTATTGTTGAATCTTGATACCTGCAGGCCTCTGTTTAAAAAAAGATAAGATACATAGTATATCAAGACTAAAGATTCCTAACTTTCTGTTTTTAATTAATGGTCAAATTTATGTTCAATGCCAAATCGTAGATCCTCCAGTCTGCGTATTTAAACCTGGACGAGACATTTTGAGCGTCCTGGAGTTGACCTGGAGTCACGTGTTGGTATCTGTTTGTCAGATGATTAACCCGCTGACTGGTTTTCCTGCTCTGCTCCTTCCTCCTTCAGGTGACTTATCTTATCACCTGGCCTTGGCTTTCCTGCCTTCCCCAAATATTTATCCCAGATAGATTTGAGAAGGTCCTCGAGTGTCACTTTCGAGTGCTGGGGCACTTTGTCTTGGACACAATCCAGCCTGGACTCACATGTGTACAGATGTTTACACGCAGCGTGTCGTTATTCAGCGCTGCAAACAGCAGCTTTTATCTGCTTATTGTTCTTTTATGTCCAGACGAGGAAAGAAAAGAGTCAATATTTAGCTACAGGGAGGTCAAAAGATTTATTGTGTGCTCAAGTCCTGTTGTATGGAGGCTCATTCATGCCAGAACAACAAAAGGGGAATGCTGATGAAAAATTTAAATACTCCTGGTTAATTATAAACATTTGCAGTTTTAATGTATCTCATCATGTTGACCTAAAAATCCACAAAGTTAAATTATTGTTTAATAATTTCAAAGATGAAATTAGTCAGTTTAATAATAAGCTACAAAGTTATTATGTTGAATCAAATCAAAACTGTAATTTTGAAAATCAGAATTATGAAATGCAATGTCATAATTGTGACTTACTAATGCAAAAGATAAAAATAGCAGGTTAAAATTAGAAGAGAAAGTGTAAAAATTTGAACTTTTTAAATCAGTAATTGTAAGATAATAATCAAATTTTAGACACTGAATTTACTGACAAAAATAAAATTAATTTGAATAAAATTCAAAATAAATGTAAAATTTTTAAAATATAATATATACTAATACTCTTCACTTCACTTCTTTTTTAAGTAGAAAAATTATTATATTCATAAATAAATGAAAATAATCATTTAAAAATCTTATTTACTGACAAACAAAATAAAAAAAGAAATAGGAATAAAAATTCAAAATAAATGTAAAAAATTTAAATGTAACTTTAAATACTTTTACATTCTTTTTTAGATAGAAAAAATGAGATGAAATTTACTTAAAATTTACTGAAATTAAGGTAACATTTAAATGACTTTTTCAAAAATACATTAAAAAATCCAATTTATTGACAAAATTAACTACTAACTAATTATTATTATTATAAATTTTCATAAAAATTTTAAATGAAAATCATCATTTGAAAATCTAATTTATCATCTCTAATTTTTTATGCCTTTTTATATTAATAATTGTAAGATAATAGTCAATTTTAAAATGATTAAAAATTCGACTATCTAAAACTGAATTAATCTACTGAGTCAAAAAATGTTTCTATGGTAAAATTTGGATGAATTATGTCTATATTTCATCATAGTTTTGAATTTGAATTGTTTTTAACTTATAATGAGTATTTTTGTTTTTATCATTCCTGTTTCTTTTTCCTGGCACCACTGAGCCTCCGTACTTCAGGAAAGTTAACATCCTGTTTGACGTCCTCGTCTCTGTTCCTCCATCTGTCTTTCAGATCACTCCGTGGCGGCTAAATCTGGAGGTTGTTTCCCTGGCGAGGCCTTGGTGACGTTGGCGAGCGGCGCTCAGAAGCCCATCAGCGACCTGCGCCCGGGTGAGCGCGTCCTGGCGTTGGCGGGCAGCGACGGCAGCGGGGAGCTGCTTTACAGTGAAGTCCTGCTCTTCCTGGACCGCGACCCTGTCACCCGGAAGCTCTTCTACACTCTGCACACAGAAGCCGGAGCCCGCCTGTCGCTCACCGCCGCCCACCTGATATTTGTGTCTGAGGGGAACTGCTCAGAGGGGGCGCTGCTGGCCCGCAGCGCCCTCAGGACTGTGTACGCCAGCGACACCCAGCCGGGACAGTGTGTGCTGGTGTCAGAGGGGAAAGCGGGATGGGGACGTCTGTCTCGGATCACCCGGGTCAGCATGAGGGTGAGCAGGGGGGCGTTTGCACCGTTGACCCAGCAGGGGACGGTGGTGGTGGACGGGGTGGTGGCGTCCTGCTACGCCGTGGTGGACCAGCACTGGCTGGCTCACTGGGCCTTCTCACCACTCCGGCTCATCCACAGCTGGACTGGATCCACTGGGAGCCATGGTGATGGGATCCACTGGTACTCGCAGCTTTTACACTGGCTGGGGAGGATGCTGCTGGACTCAGGACACCTCCACCCGCTGGGCGTGGCTCAGGACGCCAGGTGAGGACGGGAAGAGGTCACACGGGAGGACACTTTAACCACAAAGGAACCTTAACCCCTCATTTTGTGCACTGGGATGACCCCAGATTGAAACCTGTAGAGCCGCTCAGGACTGGGATGGACTGCTTGACGCCACAGGAGACGTCTGGGTTCCTGCTGAGGCGTGATGGGAGTTCTTTTGGTGTGACATGGCGGGAAGAGGAAGCTGTGAACTGACACAGACGAACTCTCCCCAAACCACAAACACAGCAAATAAAAGAGCACTTGGAGTCAGAAAGAGCTCGAAAAAGACTTAAGTGACACCTTTATCCTTTAAAACACTATGAAACAAAAATACCTTAACAATCCCTTAGTAAACCCTTAATCTACCCTTAAAAAAACCTTACTTCAATTATCACCGTAAGGTGTCATCAAGGTTGTGATTTAATAAACTGAAACATTTTCAGTGGCAAATTACTGATGTTTTAAGGGATTTTTATTCAGTATTCAGGTATTTAATGGGTTGTTTTGGGTATATGTTGCAGACACCCATAGATGAAGGGCATTTTAATGGGTTTTCTCTATCTGTTCAACTGGATTTAAGTGGGAAAAAAAAACACCTTAACATGACAATAAATCCCTCCCTGCATGTTCAGCTTAAATGGAAAATTAAGGCACTTTTAAGGTACACTGTAAATTTATTTACCCTTTAAATAACCCTGAATCTGTTCTTATAAACACCTTACTTTACACATTAATTATCATAAGGTGTCATTAAGGTTGGGATTTGATGATCGGAAACGTTTTCAGTGGCAAAGTACTGATGTTTTAAGGGATTTTTATTCAGTATTCAGGTATTTCATGGATTATTTTGAGTATATGTTGCAGAAATTAATGGATTAATGGTATTTTAAGGGGTTTTCTCAATGATGCAATTGAATTTAAGTGGGGAAAAAACTTAACATGGTGTTTAGGCACTCCCTGCATGTCTAACTTATATGAAAAGTTATGGCACTTTTAAGGCACAGTGTAAATTCATTTACCCTTAAAATAACCCTTAATGTGGTCTTAAAAACACCTTTACTTTATACACAATAATTATCATCGTAAGGTGTTATTAAGGTTGGGATTTAATGATCTGAAACATTTTCATGTTTTAAGGGATTTTTATTCATTGTTCAGGTATTTAATGGGTTATTTTGGGTATATGTTGCAGACTTAAAAAGATTAAGGGTATTTTAATGGGTTTTCTCTAGGATTCAAGTGGATTTAAGTGGTTAAAAAACACCTTCAAATGGCGTCAACACCCTCTTACAGTACACTGTAAATTAATTTACCCCTCAAATAACCCTTAATCTGTTCTTAAAAACACCTTACTTTACACATTAATTATCATTGTAAGGTGTTATTAAGGTTGGGATCTAATGATCTGAAACGAGAAAAAAAGTACTGATGTTTTAAGGGATTATTATTTAGTATTCAGGTATTTAATGGGTTGTTTTGGGTATATGGTGCAGTCATTAATGGATTGAGGGTATTTTAATGGGTTTTCTCTCAGTTTCAAGTGGACTTAAGTGGTTACAAAACACTTTAACATGGCATTAAAGCTCTCATTACATGTTCAACTTGAATGAAAAAATAAGGCACTTTTAAGGTACACTGTAAATTAATTTATCCCTCAAACAACCCTTAATCCGAACAGAAAACCCTTTAAAAACCCCTTAATATAGTACAGTACATTTATCAGTTAATGTATCTTCTATCTGGGGTAAACCTTTTAAACACCTATGTCAGAATCCCTTATAATATCACTTACTTGCACTTGAGCATGAACCAACCTTAACAACACCTTAGATCAAAACAAAAATGGTAATATGGTAAATTAAGGGGAAAGTTATTGGTAATTTTAAAGGTGTTTTACAGCCTACAAAGCCAATAATTACAATCCCATTAAAACCCATTAAGATATCCTGATTTATTGGGTGAATCAGGGGATATTTAAGGTAAAATTTTAAGGGATTTAGTTTCATAGTGAAGTCCACAGGGATGTTGTGTTGTATGTAACTTTACTGCTTTAATACAAAGATTCTAGAATAAATGATAGAGTGTATTTAAGTGTTATTTGTTTACAGAAATCCAATAATGTTTATGAAGTTATTGTGGGTGAAGAGATATTAAAAAAAGATTTATTTTTGAAATTAAATTATATGGAAATGAGCTGTGTGTTGTGTCATTAATCCTGAGCATCTGATGAAGGCAGGGACGGAATAAAAAATCAAGAATCAGAGCAAGTAATTAACGAGAAAAGATAAAGTAACTATCAAGTAAACATAAGTTCATTCTTAGAACGGGAAAATGGAGGATATGCTGTAAACTTGTTGGGGTTCTGCAGAATTTTTATTTATGAGTATAACATTCAGACATCAAAGTATAAAAGCTGAAAAAATGATACGATAATGTTTTCTCAATTAATTAATTAATTAACAGCCAAAAAGTCTGTTTCGATTGAGCTTGAAGGAGAAAACAGTTTTAGAGACAGTTGCGGGTCAAGCTCAGAATTTATATTTTATTTATATGTTGCAATACGACACGATAGGAGACGATACGATATGGTACAATACGATGCTATAGGAGATGATACAATACCATTACTATACGGTATGGTGCAATAGGAGACGATGCGATACGGTACGATATGATATGGTGCAATATGACACAATAGGATATGATACGATACGATATGGCTCAATACAATACGATAGGAGACGATACGATACATTAAGATATGGTGCAATACGACATGATAGGAGACGTTATGATACGATATGTTGCAATACGACACAATAGGAGACGATACGATAGGATACGATACGATATGGTGCAATACGAGATGATAGGAGACGATACAATACGATATGTTGCAATACGACACAACAGGAGACGATACGATACGATAAGATATCGCACAATACAACACGATAGGAGACGATGCGTTGTGATGTGATATGATACGGTACGATAGGATAGGATACGATACCGTATGGTGCAATACGACACGACAGGAGACAATGCGATACGGTACAATGGGATACGATACGATATGGCGCAATACGACACATCAGGACACGATACATAATGATACAATAAGATACAATATGGTGTAATACGACACTTCAGGAGATGATACAATACGATACGATACGATATGGTGCAATACGACATGTATAGGAGACGATAACTTATAATGCGATGCGATACAATAAGAGACAGTAAGATATGATAAGAAGATGTGATGAGGTAGAAATAGGCAAAAAAAAAAGTCGAGAAAGTCAAAGAGCGAGTTTTAATATACTTAATCCCCGAGGGTAATTATTTTTGTTTTTTTCACTTCGAAATACACACCCATGCGCAAACAAGACCTATACATGCATTGAATGGAGAGATGTTGGAGGGGGCTGCCTTGGACAGGTGCTCTGAGCAGCTGGGGGCTCAGTGTTCTGCTCAAGAGCACCTCAGCAGTGTCCAGGAGGCGAACTGACACCTCTCAAGCTACCAGTTTACTCTTCATATTCGGTCCATATGGGGACTTGAACTGGCGACCCTCCAGTTCCTGAACCTGATGGACCGAGTCCCATTTCTTGTTTTAACATAAAAACATCTTGTTATGGAAAAAACAAACGAACAAAAAAACCTTCTACATTATCACCTGAAACTGATCTTTCTTTTTTGTTCTTTCTTTCAGACGTGAGAGCACTACGCTTCCACAGCATATAACATAACGTGGAATAGAATAAAAAAAAGAAATAAATTATAATAATAATAATAACAATAATAATTATTATTATTACTTCGAAAGGTTCTGTAAAAAAATAGAATTAAAACATACATTTTTGTCTTAAAAATGATCACAAAAAGCAAAAACATCCGAAACATGCACACATTTAGAACAAAACCATGTGAACACTCGTGTGTTCTTAGCATCAAAACAAGCGTCCTGTCCCTTTAAGAGTCACGTCGTCAGCGTCGTAACCTAGGAGAAGTTGTGTTTACTTCCGGGTTGTGGCAGTCGAAAACAAGAGGGGCAGCAGCACGCCCACGGATACCGAGCAAAGCGGATTAAAGCGCCGCAGACATGGCAGGGGAGTCCGAGGACGAGATACCAGGTGAGTCCTGATGGATTATCGATTATTAAGATGATTATTGATCAATTATAATTATTACTTCCGGCAGCTTATCGGCGAGTTTAGCTTTAGCTTCTGCTTTAGCTCGCTGGCTAACGGTTAATAAACCGCTATAATCACTTTCACCGCTTCAACCTGGCATTTATAAATATACTCCACATATTTAATACTCACGACTAGCTTTATGTGTGACGTCATTAGCGGTTTATACGTTTCTGTGCTCCTAAACTTCTTTAAAAGTTCGCTTTGACACGTGCTCTGTGTTTTAATATCAGTACGGTGTCTTTATATTGATATCAGAGGCTTATGTTTGCTTTAGCTTTATGAATTCAGTCATATGGATGTGATGGATTAATAATCAGATTTGTGCTAGATTTATCTTCCGTTTGACTGATTCTATTTGATTCTATTTGTTCTTCTTCCTCAGAATCAGGAGCAGTTTTCACTTTTGGAAAGAGCAAATTCGCCGACAATGTCCCCAGTAAATTCTGGCTTAAAAACGACGTCCCGTCAAAGATCGCCTGTGGGGACGAGCACACCGCCTTAATCACAGGTAAAAGATACTCTGATGATATTTATTGATTCATTTTTTATTGAGCTGGAAGATTTGAGTTCAAAAACTGTTGTATGTCTTTGAAACTGTTTCATAGAAAACAAAATAACCACCTTAGAAATCAGCCCTCTGTCTCAGTGGATAGATTATTGCACACAGGCTCAGGGGCTGAAATGTCAGGGACCCTCCAGGCTTTCATCTGCAGCATGTTACTCAGACCAGGGACAGACTCAGAGTGAGCACAAAGAGATGTTAAACCACAATGAAGACACAGAAAATGACCATAAAGAGACTCAAAATAACTACAAGGACACATAAACCAAACACAAAAAAGACACAAAATGAAGACAGAAAGAAACTAAGAGACACAAATTGACCAAGAAAGACAGGAAGTGACAACAAAGAGACACAAAATGACCTCACAGAGACACAAAACGACCTCAAAGAGACACAAATGACCCCAGAGAGACACAAAACGACCTCAAACAGACACAAAATGACCTCAGAGACAACATGACCTCAAAGAGACACAAAATGACCTCAAAGAGACACAAAACGACCCTAAAGAGACACAAAATGACCTCAAAGAGACACAAAATGACCTAAAAGAGACACAAAACGACCCTAAAGAGACACAAAATGACCTCAAAGAGACACAAAACGACCCTAAAGAGACACAAAATGACCTCAAAGAGACACAAAATGACCCCAAAGAGACACAACATGATTTCAGAGACAACATGATAGCCAAAGAGACACAAAATGACCCCAGAGACACAAAATGACTCCAAAGAGACACAAAATGACCTCAAAGAGACACAAAATGACCCTAAAGAGACACAAAATGACCCCAAAGAGACACAACATGACTTCAAAGAGACACAACATGACCCCAAAGAGACACAAAATGACTCTAAAGAGACACAGAATGATCCCAAAGAGACACAACATGACCCCAGAGAGAGACACAAAATGACCCCAAAGAGACACAAAATGACCTCAAAGAGACACAAAATGTTGCATGTCTGTGCCCAGGACCTCATTGTCTCATGATGCGTCCATGTGTGTCTCCACAGAAAATGGGAAACTCTTCATGTTTGGCAGCAACAACTGGGGCCAGCTGGGTCTGGGGTCCAAAGTGACGGTGAACAAGCCCACTTGTGTCAAAGGTCGGTCCTTAAAGGAGCTCTCTGCTTCCTGTTTTAGCCCCCAAGAGGAGGGAGGGCATTGTTTGTGTCTGCGCTGCCACTGACAGCTGTCCTCAGCCTCCTCGAGGAGACACCTCCTTCGGCCTGGACAGGAAGCTGTTATATTAACACCAGAATATGAACAGGAATAATCCCCTGATATTAGAGGTGTTAGAGCCGAGCTGGAGGGGAGACCCACAGATCTGTCTCCACTATAATCCCAATCTGGAGAGTCTGTAATCTGGGTTAATCTAGAGGGCCGGAGGCAGATGATTGGTCGCTCAATTAATTCAACTCGCCTCTTCACAGCAGTCACTCACACACACATTTATTTGCATCATTAATGATGAATTTTGTCTAATTTCAGCCCTGAAGTCAGAGAAAGTTGAGTTCGTGGCCTGTGGGAGAAACCACACTCTGATCTCCACAGGTGAGCGTCTCTCTGAGGACCAGTTTATATTTGAACCTCCTCTGAACGATGAGCCGTCAGTGTGGTTTCCCTCTCTGTAGTTCAGGGGAAGGTGTTCGCCTCAGGGGGGAACAGTGAGGGTCAGCTCGGGCTCGGCGACTGCGAGGAGAGGACGGCCTTCCAGAGGGTCGCGTTCTTCGATTCACGAGGGCCAATCAAAATGCTCGCTGCCGGGTCGAACACCTCCGCCGCTCTCACAGGTGACATTCAGACATTCTTTTCTTTATTGATGAGGCATCACAGCAGCTTGTGAGCTCACATGGCAGTTTGGATAGTAGTGTTTTAAATTTAAAGTTCTAAATTGAATATTTATTTAAATTTAGATTTCTTACATTACGTTTATTAGATTTGTTATTACGTTTATTAAATTTCTGATAATAATAATACTACAAATTTCTTTGTCAATAAATTGGATTTTTTTTAATGTCATTTTTTAAGAGCCATTTAAATTTTGATTTAGTTTCAGATGTTTTAAGTAAATTAGATTTTTTTTCTATTTTAAAAAAGAAATTAAAAGTATTTAAAGTTATATTTTGAATTTTTTATTCCGATTTCTTTGTTTGTAAATTTAAATTCAAATTTGAAAATGTAATTAAATGTATAAAATTACTGAATATAAATAAGTATGAAATTAAAATTTGCCTTTTTTAAGTTTAAAATTTTGTCAACATAGTCAAGTTTTTAATGATGAATTTTCATTTAAAATGTTATTAAAATTTATAATAATATTACTTTTTTAGTTTTGGTAGTTAGTTAGTAAATTTGATTTTTTTTAATGTATTTTTTAAATGTTAAATTTGTCACAGATTTTAGAGTAAATTAGATTTTTTTCTATTAAAAAAGACGTAAAAAGTATTTAAAGTTACATTTTAATACTTTGACATTTATTTTGAATTTTTATTCTGATCTCTTTTTTTTCAGTAAATTAGGTTTTTAAATTTAAAATTTTAAATTGAATATGAATTTAAATATATATGTCTTAAATTTAAGATATTGTCCATAAATTTATATTAACATTGATACCTTTTTTTTGTTTTGAGAATTTGACAATAAATCAGATTTTTAATTTTTTTTTTTTTTAAAGTCATTCAAATTGTTTTTTCTCCAAGTGTGTCCAAAAACTATTTTAACCCATATTTAAACATTTATTTCTCTTTTTTTCCAACAATTTTTTTTTCAAATAGTTTTTCGTAATTTATATTTTTAATTTTTTTGTGTTTAAAAGTAGCAAACTAGATTTTTGAATTAAGTAAAAAAAAAAATTATTTCAAAATTCAACATGTTGTGGTCTTCAGAAACAAATTTGTTTACAAGTACAGTTTTGTGTAAATGCATAAAACATTTCAGGGTATATTAATAAAATGGGTAAAATAATTACATTATAGTGTGAATAGAAGTTCACTTAATTAAATACTGTCACCTTTTTTTCAGTTGTTCAAAAAAACATAAGCACTGTTATACATCCTGTATATATATATATATTTATAAAATGCTGAAAGACAAGACGGAGAAAAGACATGTTAAAGAAATGCAGTGGAGCAGAATTTAAAAACAAAACAGAATAAAATCAATTAGAAAATAAAAACAACCTCTGGATGTACTTCCTGTCATAGAGAGCGGTAAACTGTTCATGTGGGGCGACAACACGGAGGGTCAGATCGGTTTGGGGAAGGAGAGCCACGCCTCGTCGCCACAGGAAGTCAGCGTGGGGCAACCAATCAGCTGGGTGTCCTGTGGGTACTACCACTCTGCCTTCGTCACAGGTGAGCAGTGATGCACAGTGATGCAAAGAATGATGGAGCTGTATTTGTTGTGTGAAACTCTTCTTTGTGTGCGTCTCAGTGGACGGAGCTCTGTACACGTTTGGTGAGTGTGACAGCGGCAAACTGGGCCTGGGCACCGACCAGCTGCCTCGACACCGAGTCCCTCAGCTGGTGAAGAGCGTCAAGGAGCCCGTGGTTCAGGTGGCCTGTGGAGGAGGACACACGGTGGCACTCACAGGTCGGTACTGCAAGATATGCTTCATTTTGTTGACTTAAAGTTACATTACAAGTGTCTTGTACTTTAATACCTGTATTTTCAAACAGAGACTTTTGTGTGTGTTTATTTGTTTTTTGTTGCTTTTTCTTTTAATATTTTAATTATAATTTTATTTATTTATTTATTTTTGAATTTTAATTATTTACATTATATTCTTTTGTATTTTTTATATGTATAACATAAAGTATATTATTTATTTAGTTGTTTGTTTTAATTTATATATTTTATTTTTTATATTCTTGACATAAGTTATTTAGGTAATATTTTTTG